GCCCCCCTCTCCCCCCGCCGTTAGCGGCGGAGCTGCTTTCCGTGCAGATGTAGGGCTTCACCCCAAAAGGGTGAAGACACCCTTATTTTAGTTACCTTAAAAATAGCGTGTCAAGTGCACAGCCGGGCTCGCTGCTTTATCGCAGCCTGCAGAGTAACTAAAACCAATCAGATTAGGAGTTCATGGCTGTCAGTGCCATCAATACAAGTGTAGCTCACTATGAGGCTACTGATTTTTTGCGTGGGTGCAAATTTTACCCGCATAACTCTTCTGTTGATACGAATGCAAGCAATTTGACACGAGAAATGACAAATCAGGAAGATAAAGCTAAAGGAAATGGAAGAGGAATAAACACCACATCATCTAAGAATTGTATGGGTTTGCTTATTGCCTTCAATTTATAAATTAATTTCTAATTAATAAATAATACTAATTTTCAGGTTTATAAAACCTGAGTCACTGGAGGGACTTGCAAATAAAGTAAGTACTTTCATTTCTTCTCTTCTAGTACTTTAGTATCTTTTCTTTTTCTTATTGTATGCGTGACACCTAAATAAGCAATCCATGATTTTTAGTAACAAAGATCAGCAACTATCCAAAAGGTTTGGAGATGCAATTCAGATAAGCTGTCCAAAATTCAAATTAATACCAGTATACTAAATCTATATTGCACAAGGTAATTCACACTGGACTTGAATTTATCATTATTGCTTTAGCCCTTCTTTGGTTAGTGAATTGATCCTACTGTTTTTTTCAGGTCTGTTTGTCGTTACGAGAGAAAATCGGATACAGAATCTTCAAGTCAGGATTGTTTGCGTGCAGGTCATTGGGCTGCTCGCCCTTCGCAGTCCATGGCCCATGATGTGCCCTCGGCCACCTCTGTCATCTCTAGCTGGATAAGAGAAGCCTTGCAAGTAAGAGAACAGAAAGCAAGAGAGAAAAATTTATGATACGCTTCTGGTGTGACTCTTCTTAAAATTTCTTTATTCCTTCGGCACAATGTAATTGGCGCTTCCTAGAATTTTGAGATCAGCAGCTATTTCCACGTATAATCACCAGTCTTTAATCAAAGACAGAACACCCTACATGTTTCTGTATCTCAGCCCACTCTGTGTAAAATGAAGACAACAATACTCCCCTTCCCAATCTGTTGCTGTGCTCCAGTGACGGTGATGATGGTCCCTCTGGGCGCAGTGTATTCAGGTCTCCCAGTCTATACCGGCCCCCGTTGCGGTGGTCTGGCATTGACACAAATTGCCACCCGCTCCAGGGGCAGCGGAGCAGGTGTATTTGGGTATGTAAAGGAGAGGTTGGAGCAGGTTGTCTTTAGTTTCAGAGGGTTTCTTGCTTCCCAGAACACACAGGGTGGATGGGGATACGTTCAGACAGAACTATTCTCCCGGTCTCTATCCTGTGAGGCTGAGCCTTGTTGTGAGAGCACAGGATACCTTCAGCTGAAGTGTGTCTGAAAAGTCCTCCGTGGGCTTCACCTGTGCACAGCCTATCCTTCCTCCCATAACCAGCTCGGTGTCCAGTGCTGAGGATGGGGTCAACGACTGATCAAGTGCATCGGTCCCTTATAAATTGCTAAAAGTGATGCGTCTGGGAGCCAAACAGCAGCCTAAGGGCTGTGCTGCTAACCCTGTAAAATTCTGCAACCTTCCTGGCAGCTCGTGAGCAAGTGTGTCTTATATTTCGTCTGCCTTTGTGGCAAAAGATCCATTGATTCGGAAGGGGGGTGCTGTGGCCTTGCAAAAAAGACACTCATCCATACCTGACAAAAATAGTTATATCAAGAGCCAATTTCCCCTGGCCCTTTGTTGGGCTTGTACCCAGCTAGCACTAAACAGCATCCTTGAGCTCCAGGTAGTTCAGCAAAATAAATGGGCTATCTGCAAAAGCTGTATACACTGTTTTTTCAGTTAGATGAGAAGAGAAAACACGCAATTTAGCAATTTATAACTTCTGGTTACAGCCTTGGAGAATGCAGCCATAGACTTTCATAGTCTGTGCATGAAAGCACGTTCTCCTTTTTACTTCTTTTTCTTTCTGTTGTGTGATTATTAGCAACAATGCAAAGCCATATGTTAGTTGCCATGGTGGAGGGGCTGCTCCCATAACCGTCTGAGCAGAGCACATTCTAAACATTGCAGTCTGGAGCCCAAAATACCACAGCAGTAACAGAATCCTTTCTCCGAGTGGTTGCCAGCACTCTCTCCTACTGAAGACCCCTAGGACGCAGTCCTTTTTAGCATACTTCCTTCAAACGCAGCCTCACATCCGTTGTTCAGATATCATGCGTTCACATTTGTCTTGAATTAGCCTGCACAGTGACTTTTTAGTGACTCGAAGAGAAAAAGAGTCTGTCCTTCTACCAATGGGGACCAAAAAGGAAGTTTTATATATATGTATTGGTAGGCTTCCAGTACTTCACGCTACCAGCCCGAGGACAGCTGATGTAGAGTCTAGATTAGGAATAAAAATAAACGCAGAAGATGTGCTGGCCTGCATAGTTCGGATGGCTCCAATTTTTGAAATATATATTTTAAAACCCCAACAGTTATATTTGAATTCTTAGTAAAGACGCTGGGCAAAATTGAAATGTCATTAACGTAGACGAACTCAGCAGCAGTGAAATTGTACTCCTGCAGGCTTTACCCTCAAGAACGCTTTCAAAACCCCAACTGCTCTGGTTATCTGTTAAGCTGAGCTGGAGATGGGAGGCTAGGCCAATAGTATTTAAATCGGCTTTGCAAAACTGTCGGGAAAAGTTACCGGCTCGGGTCCACAACCTATTCACAAGTGCCCTTTACCACGCTGATGGGGAGGGAATGGAAGAAATGAATGATTTGCTCCAAGAGCTGGATGGCCTTTGGCATCGTTCCCTCTCCCCCGGCTTCCCACGTGTGCTGCCGCGGAGTTCCTCTCCCCCTGTGCGTGAGCTGCCCTGGCGCTTCCCTTCCCGGGGCACTCATCTTCTCTGAGCCGGGGAAGTCAGGGCTGCATCCCTGAAAATACGTGTCATGCAACGGAGAAACAGGCCCTGTGGGTACATTTGCTGCGTGAAACTCTGGTTAAAGTCTTTGTGCATGCTCCTCTGGGTATTTTCTTTACCTTGCTCCTTGTAGCACTACTTACATTCGAGAGCTAGCATCCAATATCTTTGTTTTCTAAATAGAAAATAGCTCATTACTTGTGTTTTTGCCCCTGATTGCTGGTTAATGAAATTTGTTCCAGCTTCAACATCACTGCAACGAGCTACAAAGAATCATTTGTCTCGACTGCCTGGGCCAGGCTCGCTTCTGCTGCAGCTCACAGACGGCACAGTTATCCAGGAGACTGGAAGAATGCAGTCAAGAATAATGCAAAAATGGGTAAAAGCCAAGGCTCATCAATCTTTGGTGCTGCGCTATTACATCTGTATTGTACTCCGAGCCACGTAGCTCGAACGTATTAGCATATGGAGCTGTTTGGTCCGCTTTCTAGCGTCTTGTTCCTTTGGAAAAGTAACTACAAACTTTAAGGTGCTTGTGTCAAACGAAGAAATAGTGTAATAGCAGCCTGTGCAGGCTGTGCTGTTGAACAAGGTTGTGCCTGAGGGGTGTGTGGTACACTTCTCTTCCATCCCACCGGCGTCCCTTCCCCGTGCTTTGGAAAGAGGGCCTTTCAGGTACTACTCACGTCACCTATCATCTGCTATGTAACTCAAAAAACTCCAAGGGCCCAGTTCAAGAACCCAAAGCAATTTAGCAGCACATCCCCAATAATGTCAAACCAACAGCTGGTAAGTGCTGGCCCTAGCTTTATTTGGCTTTAATATTGTCAGAAATTGCTGCTTTACTTTTGGAAATGATAATCTAGTAATCCTCCATTGTGGCATATTAAATATCTGGGGTTTTGTTCTTAAGAGGTGGACTCAGGTTTCCTGTGGCTGTGGGTCTTAATTAGACCTGTAACTGTTAAATTGCAAATCTTACTGAATATGCCGATGGTTTTACTTTCCTCTTGTCTGAGTTCTGCCCCAGCCTCCATTGCATCCAGCCTTGTTCAAACCAAACAGCTCTTCCCTCTAGTGAGCTTGGCTACCCTTTCCCACCAAAGCACCTACCACGGATGCTTTCTTGGTGCTTTAGATGTAACATTCAGCTTCCTTGCTGCTTTTACTCCTCTGAGTAATATTTTGCAATAGTATTAATTATACAGCGTGCTTAGATTTCTCATACCATTATTAACAAATGCATGTTTGCTCTAGCTTTCCTCGTTTGAACTGAATCTGTGAGCTGTATCCCACGTGGTATCTTTTACTGAAAAATACTTGGATCCATTCTGTGCAAAGGTGAGGTTTAACATCTTTTTTTGTCGAGAGGGACAAACTGTTCTACAGCTTTAGGAGGGGCACAAGCCCAGCACAGTCTCAGTTTTCAGAGGACTACAGCTCCCATGATCCCCAAGAAGAAATGAACCTGAGCTTTGACAGCAACGCACTTCGGGAAAAGGAGGAGGTATACAAAATCTTCCCTTGCTTAAGCAAGAGACATAAAGTTTGTAAGTAATTAGGGAGTGGTAAACAGGGAGTAGTAAACTCTCCTGGAAAATCCAGGTGGAAATCTGTGATGGTAATATGAGAGAGGTCCAAAGAGCTGAGAGAGGCGGCTAAGGAGCTCTAAGGAAAGTCTGTAGATTTGTCAAGCATTAACCCGGAGTTTTTAAATGTCCAAGCAAGGATGGCTAATGAGTTAAAAGAATGTAAGTTCTAAGGAAGAAATTTAGATTCTAGTGAAACGGAAGGAAGACTGAAAGAATGAAGTGCTTGCCTCTGTGCCCAGTGTGTGCCCGTGGGTCTTCAAAGGCACAGTGGGATGAAGGCTCTTATTCCTCCTGCACAGGGAGAAATGCCGTGATCAGGAGTGAGGACGGCAACAGATGCTGGTTGGTTGTTAGAGCAGCTTTATTTTTTGTAATGGGCTCTACAAGGGGTAAGGGCTTAACTGGAGAATTGAAGTGACCCGCCTGTCTGTGGTAGGGTGATTTGGTGGGATAAGAAACTCAGATACAGACTAGCTGATAGCAAGCAGTAAGTGATAGTTGAAGGTAGCCTTGTGTTTTCTGCATCTCCACCTACAATTGTAATCTCCTTTTTGATCTCTCCTTTCGAAACTGTAGGTGTCGGTGATGATCTAACCAGCACCTGACTCGCCAGCCATTTGTCCTTGGAGGGCTGGGTAGGGACGAGTGCGGCTGCATCGTGTGATGGGGAGTGGCTGTCACCCTGGCGAATCCCTTCGGAGGCTTACCCAAAAATCTCCATAATTTTCCTTTCAGCCTTAAACCACCCCCTCCATCCAATGAACGATGAACAGACTTGAAAGGCACCGTCTGTTGAGATGATGTGTGGAGCGGAGAAGAGCTAAGCTCTACACTACCAAGAAAACCTGAGGAATGATCCCTCTGATGCACTTTCTGATGTTTATTGTGTATTCTGTCTCCCCTGTGTATCTCTATACAATGAATTTATTTATATTGTAATGCAGGAAGGTCCTTCCCCCACAAATGAGAACAATATAGCCAAAACAGCTAGCACTGGATGTTTAAAAAGATTCACCCCAAAGTTTAAATTGTTGGTCTGACTTCTGCTGTGGCTGATTGCACGAATCCTCAGGAACAGACAGTACCCTTCTGTAAACTAGCAATAGTAAAAAAGTCTTACTAGCCCAGGCTAGCTACTGAAAATGCACTGCACCTTTTTGGTCTGTTTATCATGTACTGTGGCTATCCAATAGCTCTTACGGTTTGATTCGGGGACAATAGCAGTCTTTGTTCTGGTTTTGGATTTGTGCTTGATTTTGCACTGATATGAATACTAGATATAATACAACTGAGATTTTGAGGGTTTTAATATTAAATGAGGAGCTACGTATATTTGAGATCTCCAGCAATTCCCCTCGAGATTGATTTTTCCTCTGATAATTTTGCCAAACCCAGTTGGTTTCATCAGAAATGGTTCTATATAGTGTGTCTTTGAGCGAGGCTAGGGAATAATCATCTCTCTCTTATTTTAAGATGAATTATTTTGTTGAAAGGCTATTTTGTTTAGAATAAGAACGTGTATCTGCTCCCCCTCTCTAGTTCGCTTGAGCTAGTTCTGCCCCAGCTGGATGAAGCAGTTTAGTTGTAGCTACAAAGAACTTGACAAAGACTGTAAAAGCTGTCCAAGAAGCAGGATAAATAGCTTGAGCTCAGCTCTAGGCCACTAGTAGGATCAGAACTGGCCAGTTAGTGTGCACGTGTCCCATGCTCCAGTGTAGGTTTGTCATCCACTTGGAAACCGTCACTGTCCTCACGATGGACGTAGCAGAAAGCTGCCCAAATCTGGACATGTCATTGGCCTTTTAAAAAACTGTTTGCGGCTGCAGCTAACCCCTTACTGCTGTGCGTGTGTGTGCCAGCTTTGCTCCTTTTATTCCTGACCAGGACTGCTGCACTCACTGCTCAAAGCAAGGGAAGTCCAAGTCCTGGTCTTTCATGGAGGGGGGGTACAAGAGCTAGGGTGGGACATGGCTGTGGAATTAGTGAAGCGGGATGATTTGTATACGCACATGTAAAACGGGAGCTGTACTGTAATACGAATTACAGCTCAGAGGTGCAATGCTAACTTTGGCTGCATGGAATATTATGGAGACAGCAAACGCACTGTATTTTGTTTGCGTGGCCAGCAAGCACGCTGTAATTTGTTTGTGTGCGTGTAACTGTTTCAAAGTGTGCAGGATCACACTGCTGTTGGAGTAATTTGTCCTCTCTGCTGCACACACAGCAGTGCCTGCAGCCCCTCAAGGAGCGTGCTGTGGCTTTGCTCACCTCCTTTGTTGCTGCTTGGCTAGTTTCCCCCTTTCTTTTCTGCCTTCTTTTTCCTTCTCTGACAGAACAGCCTTCTGGGAAAGGGAAAGCTGAGTATTTCTGAAGCACTGCAATGCAAACAAGCCAGCTCCAAATCAACCTTGACTGGGAAAATCTGTGCCACACAGCATAGCCACTGCAGCATGCAGTATGTGCGTGCTGCTAGAAAAGACTACCAGGCTGGTGAGGAGCCCGAAGGACCAGGCACCCTCACAGTCCTTTGCCAGTAGCAGCGTTTGTGAGAAATAGGTTAAAACTAATTTGTGGATTAATTTTAAAATGTTAATTTATTTTTGCTTGATGGGCCTGTACACTGTATAAAGCAAACATCACTTACCAGAGTATGCTGTACCACCTTTTCAAAGCCTCGTACACGTGATACTTGTAATGCAGGTGAATGGTGGTGTCCACCTTTTCCTAAGGGAAAACGGAAAAGCAGCTCAACGTGCAATGGGGCATAGGGGAGATGATCCAGCATGTAACTCCAGAGCTGCTGGCCATCAGATCTGTACTCTGGACTTTCTTTTGTTAGCTGAAAGAAGCAAGTACGAAGGTAAAACTGGAGAGATGTGAGTTTCTAACTGAGAAGCAGAACCACCAAGCAGCTAATTGGGAGGAGGCTAGCTCCAACTTGTCCAGCTGTTCTGTCCCAACAGCTTGCCTGATGGTGTAATACATTAAAAACAACAGTAATCCTGCTGTCCAGTAACGTGTATAGGCTAGTTACTGTAACCTGAACTACAGCTGAAAGCAGAGATGCAGGAGGGAATACCACAGGTAAAGCCAACCCAAATCTGTGGCACCAAGTCTTTCAAAGGAGTGGCCATTGAGATGACAGACTCTAAGTTACATTGGCTTCTGCTGCTTACCAGACTTCCCTTTGCTGCCCCTAAGCCAACAGCTTCGTTCCTCATTTTGCCCTGTGGCAACATCCAGCTACCAAAAATTGTAGTGCCGTTTTAGGTATGGAACTGGCTGGGGCTTCTAGGGCAACCCGTCTTCCCTCGCCTCACCTGTAAGTATGGGCATTAAAGAGGAGATATCATTGCCTGCTTCCACACCTAAGCTGAGAAAGAAATATTAGACTACCTTTTGAGGCTGTTTTTCTAATATAGGCCAACATCCTCAGCTATACACCTTCGTTCCCATGCTTTGGGGATAAGAGATGGGAATAGCAATGGAATATTCTGATGCCAAAACAGCGCCTGGCCCTGAGCAGCAAGGTCGCTGCTGTCACGCAGGCTGCCCAGGCTTTGGGCCCTTCTGACAAGTACTGCTTATGTCATGATTATCCAAAAATCTGTCCCACATTCAGGATTGTTCCTATGATCCCTGCATCTTCTTGTGCATTGCAAATACTTCCTTGCACAATGCTTAAACAAAGGGAAAATGAGGCAGAGCTGTTTGAACAGCCATCCAGCACCACAGCACTTTGTGGTCAAAGTAATCCTGAAGAATCTTTCAAATCCATGCATGTCACCAAAATATAATTAAGACGCAGGATTACCCAACAGAGCTCTTGATTCATAGGACTAGGACTGACGAGCACCAGGAAAGTAATAGATTTTATTGGGTAATCTGTTTGTTTGGACGCACAATCCTTCAAGCCAAGTCATTCTCGTAGGCCTGGGAAATCCTTGAATGACAATTTCTGCCATTGCCACAGGTCATTAAAACACAGAGCAAAATCCTCTGCGTTCCACCCATCGCGTAATACCAAGGAGAAAACATTGTGAGTAAAAATCCTGCTCTAATAGTTAAATTCCTGACAACCTAAAGCAGACGTCTTTTTTCCTTATGGCTGCAGAAATGAGACCTTGGATGAAGCTCCTGTCAGCAGTGAGTCTGATCAAGCACTGTGTGCATCTGACAGCCAGCTTGGCCACCTCCTCACCACATGCAGCAGCTGGGCTCCAGTGGATTTCATGTGCAAGTAGGCCTGAAAGGCATATTAATTTTTAATTAAGTGTTTAAGTTTCACGTTTAGAAGGCCTCCTTAAGAGACGTGTCAGTAATATGTATGCTACTGTGAATGAGGAGGTAGGTCTTAAGCTATGTCTTGTTGGTAAGCAAACTAGAACTCTCTACTGAGAATAAAAAATATATATACATACACACGTGTATATATGTGTGTGTATATATATAAAAGTATATTCGTAAAGAAAGACATCTGGCACAAGTAACGACTTTGCAGCAATGAGAGCCTCCTGCCTTGCTCCGGTTTGCGTTCAGCGCTGTGGCAGTTTCGAAGACCTTGATGGCTGGGGCAGCTGCGCACAGGAAGGGGAAGTCACAGAGGTTAGTGCAAAAAGCTTCAATCAGAAGGGAAAATCCTAAAAATAATGTCCTAAGCTAATGCTGACACGCGTGGAAAGAGCTTGGCAGAGGTACGTAAAGGATTGGTTGGTATGGTGTAGATTTCTATGCAGGGAAGGCTGGCTTGGATTTTTTTTTTGGTGGCGAATATCTAGGAAAGAGAGGAGAAGTGGAAGAGGAGCCACGAAGAGAGGGACGGAGAGTGTTAATGGTTTGGGCTCCGGGGAGATATGACTAGAAAATCAATTTTCCCTACGGAAGGAATCGCATCTATTTCACCACGTTTTTTTCAGCTATTTAGCACTCTTCAGACCGTACTGGCTTCCTAGCGAGTTTTTTAGGAGTTTGGCAGAAGGTATGCAGAGCCAGACTTTGATGCTCTTCTCTTCTTTCTGGATGCTTTCCTACAAACACTAAAAAGCAACTCTGGAATATCATAGCATTTCTTCTTATAGGCATCTACACATGTTCTCTTGTTAGTAAGCACCGTATGTCACTCTTTGAACAGCCCAGTACTCTATTTACTGGGACCCGAGTGTATGTGGTAACACCACACACATACTCCTGTATATGATGTACCAGCGATACATTACACAAAAGTTCAATGAACAAGTCACTTCTAATCATTTCTTCCCCTTTCAGAAATGCATTTATATATGTGTTCTCTTACCCATGGTGAAGAATTGTTTGGAATATGTTATTAAGGGTAACAGATGTATTTGAATAAGGGCTTTTTTTGGATGTCTGACTGTTCATTGGGATAAGTCTTTGAAGTCAGGGCAGTTCTGAAATGTGAAAGCAGCATTAAATAAAAAATAAAAAAAAAAAAAAAACACAACAAACCCATGCCACTCTCCCTGAGAGAAAATCTACAATGAAATGAATCACCCTTTTAACTAATTGAAAAATTCTTTAGACGTGTTTCTGCTCTGGCAACTGGGCCAGCATTAGGCTGATTGATGGAGCTTGTGAAATGATCTTTAGGACTTTTCACTCTGATCAAAAATCTTCCCAACTCCTAATAGTCCAGCTGGCCTGGAGATGGAGCGAGGGATGTCTTCCTAGATCCTTGGGACACATTCAAAAATGCAGCCTTTCTTTGAGCAATGTAAGTGTATATAAGTCTTTGGTACTTTTCCAGCCGCTCACTTAAACTTGACCATGTATCGAGCGCTAGGTGTGAAAGAAATATACGCGTCTTTAAAAGTTAACAAGAAAAGGATTTTTGTTTGTTTAATTTAGAAGCTGGCATGCTGCCTCATGCTTTTTCTAGTTGCTAATAGCAGGCAACTTCAACCTCCACCAGGTCCTGAGAACGGCTAGAGGCACTGAGTACACAAGGGGACGGGATTTACACCTTCCCATTTGGCTGACTTCCCCTAATTTGGCAGAAGAAAAATCTTTTCTGGTTTTAAGAAATCTGCAAACTAAGCGAGGTTTGCTGAACTGTTGCCTGATGTCTAGGAGTTGCTAAACTGTGATAGCGTTTCAACAATGAAATGGCTAAAATAGCACAAGCGTTGCTTGCGTGTGTGTTATTTCTAAAACACCTCGGGACTATCCTAGAGTTTACTTGCTTTTATTTTCCTGAACAATCCAGTACCAGAGACAAGGTTTGCAGTTAACGTTCATCCCACATGTATTTCGTTAATGCACACATTTGTTAAATTCTTGTTCTGCTAAGATGCCTTCTTGATTTAAAAAATAAAATAAAATTGGAAATCTTTGAGGAGGAGAATTCTTGAAGGTCTTTAGCTAAGGTGAACCCAAACCCTTGCAAGTTACTTAAGAGCCTTCTTAAAGGCAGGCGGATTGATGGCAAGGTCACAAAAGGACACTGGCCTTTTGGGGGGGAACTCGGGGTGCCTAGATCAAAGATTATGTTCTAGAAAATGAAAGGAAAAAAAGGAAACCCTGCTCAGTACCTGCGTATACCTGGAAAGCGCTGGGTGCCTGGATCTGGCACTGGGCACGCTCAAAAATGCTCAGGACAGACCTGGCTGCCAGGCTGGCAGGTCGGCCTGCTCTTGGTCGGACCCTCTAGAGCGCAGAGACGGTGGCAGACAAACCAGGGCACTGGCGTACCTTGGCCTCTCCCTGCAGGTGGCTGCTGCTGGTGGGTGCGTTTGCACGGGGCCGTGGGAAGGCGGAGGTGGCCCTTCCTCTGCTAACCTGCTGCTGAGAGACAG